TTTACATTTATTTTTATTTTATTGTTTTTATGATTGTTTTCGTTTTCGTGGTAATCCGCCACCGCCATTTGGTAATTTCAATTATGATGACGAAGATAACTTAGAGTTTGAGAACTTGTTGTCTCGTCAAGATCGCTCGCTGTTTTCAAATCTATCGGGTGCTCCATTTTTACGTTCGAATCCACCAGCATATGTAAGGAGAGCGAACATGGTTGTACCCGAAGATCCCTTATTAGATGACGACGGTGAAAATTTGCAAACTCAAGACGCTGAATTTCTGCCTGACGAACAAATTGATAAGTTCTCAGAACGGGTAAATATACGCTTATACTAAAATGAACAATAGAGCAATTTAAAATAGCAAAATATTTCTTTAATGTGCTAGAATAAATATAGAACATTTCAACGTGATCGATATATAGTCAGTCGCGAGCAGTGTGCGAAATTCAATGTTCTAAATGTTCTCAGAGAACATGAAAATTTTAGGTTACACTTATTTTAGAGCATAAAAAGTTTAGGTTACACTTATGTGAGAACATAAAAATTTTAGGTTACACTTATGTGAGAACATAAAATTTCAAAAATCTATTATATAGTGAGAACATTTATTGATAATTCAAATTTCACACACTGAGTAGCGAGTAGAACTTCTATAAGTACATTATATTGATACCATATAATTTATCTTTTATACTAGGTCAAATGTCATCCCGTCACTGACGCTCAATTGGCAGCCGAAGAAGAAGAAGCTCGTCGTCAAGAAGAAGAAGAAATTAGAAGGAAACGCCATGCTGCCACACAAGCTGCTCTTGCCAAAGGTTTACTAACGCCAGAACAAGCTTCTGCTAATTTCTTCACTATTAATGATGAAGATGACGATGATGATAATAGTCGAGAATACACTGACTCATCTAGGACCATAATGCATGATAGTTCTTCGGCTGAATCATCATCTAAAAGCCGAAAGATCACACCTCATGACGAAGATTCGCAAGTTACTTCTTTAAATAAACCACGTAACCCACATGAACGCCTCTTTGTACAAGACATAAATATGGAAGATTATGATGACGTAACAGATTTTGAAGATATGTAAGTATTAAGACTTTGTGATATCATCATTTATTTATACAACTAAGAAGCATGACTTTTGAATTATTACCGTAAAAACAATAATAAAAACAATAAAATAAAAATAAATGTAAAAAAAAAAAAAAAAATGATTATTAAAAAAAATAAAAATAAAAATAATGAACAATAAAATACTGACTCATAGGCCGCCCACCAATTCCAAAGATCAAACAATCAACGACCCTCTGACTCACTCCTCGCCCGACGACACACAAGAAGAAGCTTGAGGCGAGATAATGAACAAAAGATGGAAGACTATTCCCCATTTTCCGTAAGCATTCTGCGATCCGACGATTACGATACGAATCAGGAAGATTATAGTCCAACTGTAGGGGACGAAGAAATTGAGGATCCATTCGAAAATATTTTACCGGATTTTTCGGAGAGGTTGGGTAATTTTTTTAACAGGCTTACTAACTCTGGAAAATTAAAAAAAGAGGACACAGAAAATATATGTCTTACTGGTCAAGATGATAATTATGATGATATAAGTTTAAATAAAAATAATACTAATCTCAGTAAGAAATTAGTAACATGAAAGAATCAAGTAATAATGGTTCTGGTGATGGAGAAGAATTATCCATCAGAAGATCTCCAACTAATAAATTAAATGGATAAAACATTTCTTATAATTTTGTTGTATACCCTTTTTTTTTTATACTCAAAATATATACAAGATGGAATTTTTCTCTGAACTTATTTATATATTTATTTTGTCTATTTATTAACCCTATTTGTATATTCGATATCTATATTTACGAACATTTATTTTTCTTTACCCAACACCTTATAAAAAACATGGTTGCCAAGTTCGTCGGCTTCATCACTTTTCATTATCTATTTAATTTTCCGATTTCATCGTAGCATCACACTCTTTATTAAAATATGTCGCTGAATAAATTCTCTTCAAATAATTAAAAATTATTAAAAATTATTTATATTAATTAATCTAAATTTATATAAACACTGGAAAAATAAACATCTTGTAATGCTTCGATTTTTAAAAATGCTTGGATCTATCATTAGGGCATGGCAGAAATCAGTTGATTTTTTAGGGGTCATAGCCTGGTCGGGTTCTAGCTTATTAGCTAAGTCAGTTAGGTAAGGGGGTAGGAAGAAGACTTTTAATCATCTGATTTTTGCCAATGCCCTTACTATTACTTAGGGTACATACCAAAGATGCTTACGGTTATGTTTGCCAGTTGTACTTATGATCATGCTTACGGTTATACTTGCCACAAGGACAAAAAAAAAGATACATACATTTCACTAAGGATTAAAAAAGTATGTTTAATTTGCTAAATCATTAAAAATTTTACATTGTAACATTTGTTTTCATATACGTTTTTTAAAGTTTTATAGATAGATGAGAATGTGTATATTTTACAAGAAAAATAAAATAAATCGGAATATTGATTTTGCAAGTCTTTTTCTTTGCTCTACTTATTATTATTAATGATTATTAAAAATTATTATTAGTTTAAAAAAAAAAAAAAAAAAAACACTAAAGAGAATTTAGAAAAAAAAAACAATACAATGATTAGGAAATTCAAAATGTTCTGCACAAGTTCTGTTATAAACAACAGTTAACCCACCCAATTATTTCCTACCTATACAAAAATATTATCTTTTTAAATAAAAAAAAAAATAATAGCTAAACGTATCCCCAAACGAAAAAAAAATATTGTCTTTTTTTTTTTTTTTTTTTAAAAAAAAAAAAAAAAACTAATTTATTTGATAGTCCAAAGATAATACATGAAATCCCACTCCCACTACATTTCTACCAACACATGTGAGGTTAAACTACCTTCACATCATTTCGTCCATATCTTCATCTTCGTCTGTTTCATCTTCGGTCACCCAAATTTCATTGTCAACTTCACTCAAAATCCCATAATATCCCTCTAAATCAAAAAAATTTAATTCTTTGCACCATTTTTTTAGTTCGTCTAAGCTTAGTTCGGTCACTCCATCACAGTTTCTTAAATTTATCCACCGTATTGTTGGACATGTAACTGCGATCTCAGAAAGTGCTTTGTCAGTTATATCAGTAAAAGAAAAGTCCAAAGAAGTAAGTGCTTTACAAGAACGTGCTAACGCAATGAACCCCCTTTCTGTGAATTGTGGACACTGAGATACGATTAAGGTGGTGAGATGAGAACCTAAAATACTTGCTATATGTGCTAACGTTGAATCTTTTAGTGCTGAACATCGGTTAATATCAAGAGAAGTTAGGTTTGGGCAAAGGTTAACTAGGTTAACAATGTCCAGGTCAGTGATGTCTGTCGACCGGTGAGGTAAATGTGATAAGTTAACCTTACGAACTAAAGAACCTGAACTATAAGAGATCCGAAGAAATTTTCGAAAACCATTAATGTCTTTAAATTGGGGACTATAATATATTAGAGGCAGAACGATGGCTCGCCAATGACGGCACACCGTTGAGACACAGGACAAGGATTTTTGGTCATTGCCAAGGAGAGTAAAAATACTGTGAAGTAATTCTGTTGGTAGAAAATTCATATTGTCCTTTTTGTCGAGAGATTTATAGGAATAAAATATTAAGGGAATTTAGTCCACACTTTTTTTTTTTTATTGTGTGTGGAAATTTTTTGTTCGTCAATAGTAGAAAGGAAGGAAAAGGAAAGAAGAAAGGACCAAAAGTGGGAGTAAGAGGCGGGTTGGAGGGGGGGAAAGAATAATAAAGGAAAGTCAAAGAACAATGTAACCAGTTTCGAAACACATCATAAATAAGCCCAAAATCCAAAAAACTACATTGAATAAATAAACAAACTTTACTAATGTCAAAAAAGTGATCAGATCATTACAGAATTGAGACAGTGATTAGACTTTGATTAGGTTAGGCTTGTGATATTATTAGGTTGATATATCCTCTAACATGTTGAACAAGTCGGAATTTCTGAATCGCAACGTTACACTTCGCGTAGATTTCGGGAAATTATCGCATTAAGATGCAAAATGATCTTTTCAGGCAATGATGATTTTTACAAAATTGAACAAACAGCGTTGCATGGCTTCTAAAGATTGATCAGATTTGATTGGTGATTGCCTAAAGAGTAAAACCTCGGTTGCCCGAGTTATTCGTCATACATTTTCTTTCATACCAAGCAACCTTCTTGGTCTTTTTGGTCTTTTTGGTCTTCATAGAGCGGTACTGATTCAGTAAGCGGCTATGTATAACATTTCCATAATCAAAATTTTTTTTTCATGTGTTTTTTTTTATTTTTATTTTTATTATGATTTTTTTTTAAACCTATAAATTACAGTACAACTTCTTTCTCTTCCTCTTAGGTACATAAAATGTTTTTATAAATTAACGCATATTCCAGTCTATGCATTTTTCTATTTATCGAACGCTTTAGAAAAACTTATTTCACAAATTAAATTTTACTTTTCACGTGAGATTCCAAAAATAATTTTACTTTTTTTCTTGACTCCCTTGATCGTTCTTTAATCAATTACCCCTGCTCATTTGTTTTAATTATGTGTTACTATTGAACATTTGGGAACTCGTACTCCCGGGATTTTTGGAGCTAAGGCCATATGTCGTTCAGATCGCTTTTAAGTATACCCATTTGGCAGTATGTGATAATAGATCATTATACGATCTACACCGCATATTAAAATTTATTTAACAGTTAATAACAGTTAAGTAAAATTTGGTTTTTTTTATTTTTTATTAAAAAGTTTTTTATATTAGAATTATTTATACTATCCTTTAATCTGTAAGCTATTCTAGGCAAATTTGCCTAGAAAATTTATGTAACAATACCTATAATCTATATTTTTATAAAATTAATATATTTAAACAAAAATTTTTTTTATAATATTTGAAAATAAAGATTATATAATTGTAGTATTTATTTTTATTTTATAAGAAAAAAAATATAAGTTATCTAT